CTTTCTTTCTTTCTTTCTTTCTTTCTTTCTTTCTTTCTTTCTTTCTTTCTTTCTTTCTTTCTTTCTTTCTTTCTTTCTTTCTTTCTTTCTTTCTTTCTTTCTTTCTTTCTTCATTCTCAGAACACAGATGGGTGATATGTGTTCCTGTATAAGGGACACAACTCCTATCATCTCTCACCATTGCCCATGCTTTTTAGGGTAGATCACTATATTAAACTGACCTACATTACAGGTCTGGCATAATGAACACTGGGAAAAAATGGATCAAAGATAAATCAGGGGAGAATAGGAGAGAAGAGATTGTTGGTGTCTTGCTTTTTGAAGTTTAAAAAAACATTTTAATATAGTTAATATCTTGTCTTAAGACTTACTAGAAAAGTACATTTTAATGATATAAATTAGATTTGCAATAGAGGCTGTACAAAACTAAGCAGTAGCTTTTGGCCAAATACAGACCTAAGGTTAATCTCTTAAATAGAAGCTTTTGCTCCCTTGCTGCGTAAATTACAATGAGTTTATCCAGTTTGTTAGTTCAGCATCATGATTAAATGCTTCTTAAATCCAAGTCACAAACACCAGGGAAGAACAAAGAGAAAATCAGCAAAATGGACTGTACTGTTTCAATCTAACTCATCACCAGCAAGGGACAGCTAGTAGGAAATTAAAATTGTGAGTCCAAATCTTCCACAAGTACTCAGCCTTGTGGGACATTAAAAATAAATGCTGCACTGTTAGAAAAGCCCTGTCAACAGGGCAACTTCACTTTTTAAAATGGCCGTGCTTTGTATTCAAAAGAATTAATACTATCTCACACCCGTCATCTCTATCAATACACATTCCTGTTGGTTTAGGGAACTTTTAAAAGCACAAAATATGAACTTGTGCCTTTGCTCTTAAGGTCAGAAGGGCACAGAATGCTATAGAAACAGCTGACCACTACAATTCGTCACATTCTTCCTCTGCAGGCTTTGTATTAAATGATTAGCCAGAAAGCTTTACAGCAAAGAGGGAAGACAGCAATGCTACACAGATAAAGATTAAAATGCTCCATGATTACTAAAAATCATGCTTCCTAGCCTCAGATAGAGCATTTCAATATCAATGGAATGGTACTTTACAGTACATCCAGTCACAGGGGTGGCATAAGTTACTTCTTACACAGTATTTATGACAATTATAAGGTAACTAGCTGTGCCTCAGTATAAATACATTATCTGGATATGAAAGAAAACATTAGAAGAAAGTGGTAGATGTACTAGGCCTTTCTTGCAATGGGTGAAATCCTCCACTTTACCGTGACTTTAGGTGGGTGTAGTTTATTTTTTTACAAATAACCCAGGGCCGCGAACATATCCGTTTGACCACAATAATAACCCTGTGAGGTGTGTTAAAGGAGAGGGGGGGAGGGAGAGGGCGAGAGAGAGAGGGAGAGAGAGGGGGGGATAGGGAGAGAGGGAGATCAAGACAGACTGGCCCAAGATCATCCAGTTGGTTTTCATGGCTAAGGCAGGACTATAACTTACAGTCTCCCATTTTCTAGCCTGGTATCTTACCTACGCCACCAAACTGGCTCTCTATGTTATTTCTAAGAGGAAGAAATAATGAACTTTCAGCCCTATATAGTCGCCCTTTCTTAAAGAAGGTTGCCAATATCTTGCAATGCATTTCATTGATAATAAACATAATATTTTTCAAGTAATTATTATTGATTGAGTCTGGTGTAGCAAACAGTAACAAAGCCATCCTCCGCAAGCCATTCTTACAGGGATTACACAACTAACTGTTAGAATTCAAAATGAGGGGACTCTGTCCTATCAGCTCTTCACTATTATAGTAGGTGGAGAGAGAGAAGTGTTATTCCATTCAATTCCTTCTTCCTGTGATAACTATATACAGTATGGTATATACAACACTATATACAGCAGTATAGAAAGGTTATAGGAACTGGGCCTGGCTGGTCTAGTGAAGAGAAGGACCAGGGCAGACATGATAGCAGTCTTCAAATATTTGAGGGGCTGCCACAGAGAGGAGGGGGTCAAGCTATTTTCTAAAGCGCCTTTAAGCCAGACAAGGAATAATGAATGGAAACTGAACAAGGAGAGATTTAACCTGGAAATAAGGAGAAACTTTCTGACAATGAGAACAATCAACCAATGGAACAGCTTGCCCTTGGAAGTTGTGGGAGCGTCATCACTTGAGGCTTTCAAGAAGAGATTGGACTGCCATTTGTCAGAAATGGTGTAGGATCTCCCGCTTGGGCGGGGGGTTGGACTAGATGACCTATAAGGTCCTTCCAACTCTGATTATCTATTATCTGTTATGGTGTGATTTTAGAGAATAGCAATTAAAGCCATGCTTGTTTTTCAACCACTAAGCAGAGGAAAAGCTTGAGGAATTCAAGACTTTAGATTGCTGAAGACCTAGTAGAATTCTTTTTAATAATTCACCAAACCAATGTCCTCCAGGGAGGAAATGACTGTCACTTCTACCTTTCATCATGAAGTCTTGACAAACAGCATAGGCTTCTACACTATGTAACTTCCTGGACCAGGCACTTAGGATACCTATCTATTGTGAATGTCTTACTGCCATATCTCACACTTGAAATCTTGCTGACCCAAAGCATAGAAAGAAAAACAAGATGAAGGGGAAAACAAGGAGTTCTCACCCAATACAACCCATCAGTTGACAAAGCAACTCCATCTAAATGTTCAGAACAACTATTTTTCTATTTTTATATCACGTTTAGTTGCAATTTTGCTTTTTCTGCTTCGTTGAAAATCATGTCCACTCTCTAGTTTAAAGCTGGAGAATGAGCATCTATAACAGAGGTATCAAACTCACAGCCCACAGGCCGGATGTGTCATGTGCTGGCCCCAATACATCACCTGATGATGCCCTGATGACGTGAATTTGACACACCTGATCTATAACAACATGGTTTATAAAAAGATAAATATTTTGTGCTTCAATGAGAATGAGCCTGACTTGGCAAACTCCATACGGTATATAAAAACTAGGATATTGAAAGTGATCTAAATACCAGTTGGTATATAATAAGATTGGCATATAATTTATGTAATACCACAATTTCACAAAAAGTCCCAGGAGTCAACTCCAAAATTAAAACCTAATGAGCATAATTTACGTAATAAGGAAATTAGCAAATCAGAACCAAATACAGTTGAAGCTATTGCCAACTCTTTGCCAACTTTCCTCAATGTAATGCCCTCTTAATCTGATCAACATCCATAATCCACTGTCAGCATGCTTTTAAAAGAATTTTAAATATTTTAAAAGCTAACAAAAAGAAATGAATTACTGGAAGTATGAAAACTGGTGGCCTCTAATATATATTTTCTTCCTTGAGAAAGAATTATACAATATTTGGGGAAAGCATCCACATGTGATGCTTAGAAATGTCAAGCCAAATTTTGAAGCTGGCTATAGAGACAGAGAGCCCATACTACATTAGATTTAATCACCCTGTAATTCCCTACTAAAGGATGTCCCACAGTGCCTCCAATAGTCACTGCTTATTCCTTATGGTAGCACAATGGATCGTCAGATTGTCCCTGACCAGCAACCAGAGAGATATGGTAAGCATTTGCTTCTTCCACTTACTCTATACCAAAGTCATTGTACCAATGGAAATGGAGAAAATTCATGCTAATAACAAGTATAGATAAAGGTCAGTGATATGCAAACTATTCTGCACTAAATAAAAACTGAATTTGAATCATCCTGTTTTTTCAATTAGCTTTTAAGCCATGAAAGAATATGAAAAACAACTGTATAATATACGGATCCATAATAATCCATAATCCATGGGTGCAGCTGTACCTCTGGCATGTCAGCTCAGTGTTATTTTTGAATAGGTAACCATACTTTTAAAATGACATTTTGTACGTATTTGATGGGAAATACATATAGGAACCATATATATTACAAGTGTGCAGTTTTCCAAGTATATTATAAAAGCATACACAAAGAAAGGCTTTATGAGTAAGGGAGAAACTTATACCCTTCATCATTCCTTTCAGTCTCAATGTCAAAATTGGATTTTGATTAATTTGATTAGATTTGATTAGCTTAACCATTAATTTATAGACTAGGATTTTCATCACTGACATTTTTAAAGGATTCAGCCAGAGCAAGAGAATTTGATTTACAGCCTTAAAAAAATGTCATTTCACTTTCTATTTAAAGACTTCAGCTCTATCACTATGAATGTCCATCTAAAGGCTAACAAAAAGTTTTATTCTGATGATGTCTCCAGTGGTTGTCAATAGATATTATATAAGGGCAAGAAACTTAGTACTTGTATGCCTACTTCAAACATTCCTACAGAATCAAAACCTGATTTCGGCCCCAGCAACAGAAAAATCAACTGATGAAAAGGAAGGTGGATATCTCTCTCTATAAAATATCTATCTATCTGTCTGTCTGTCTGTCTGTCTATCTATCTATCTATCTATCATCTAATCTATTTATCTCAGTATTTGTTTCCTATCTGTATATAGACAAACATGGATCCAGTACAGTGGTGGGATTCAAATTTTTTTACTACCGGTTCTGTGGGCATGGCCTGGTGGGCGTGGCATGGCTTGGTAGGTGTGGCAGGGGAAGGATACTGTAAAGTCTCCATTCTCTCCCCACTCCTGAGGGAAGGTTACTGCATAATCCCATTCGCTCCCCACCCCACCTAACCTGATTTTCAGCTCCGTTCTCCTGTGCAGGGCAACAAAAGAAGACCCAGCCGATCAGCTGGGACTCGGGAGGCAGAGAATAGATGGGACGGGCAGTCAGAGGTGGTATTGGCCGGTTCTCTAAACTTCTCAAAATTTCCACTGCTGGTTCTCCAGAACTGGTCAGAACCTGCTGAATACCAACTCTGATCCAGTACCACGTAACATTCTTATAATATTTATTAACTAAGCACATGCATGCACAGAGCTGTAAAACTGTTATTTTATTTTACCTTTCTTTTGGTGTACCTACTCCATGTTTTCCTAGTAAGTGGGTGTTTAAATGTTTCTTCATTACAAAGGCCACCCTGAAAAACAAAATTAATTGTGGTTATTGTTTCAGTTTAGATAGAATTAATGAATATGCATACATGCAATCTGAAAGACAATGTAGTTTAGAAATAATAGTTATGATAAAACAGGCCTGTCAAACTGGCAGCCTGCGGGCCAGAAGTGTCACACGCACCCCAACTCCGTAAAGGCAAAAAACATCACAATACATCACAATACATCATGTGACACAATTGAATTTGACACCCCGTGTGATAGAGCATAAACATGGAGGCAACATTAAGAAAATGTAAAAATATAAAGGTAAAGGTTTCCCTTTTCCAATGGTTTCTGACTCTAGGAGAGGTGCTCATCTTCATTTTTTAACTGAGGGAGCCAGCTTGGTCTGAAGATATTTCCATGGTTATGTGGCCGGCATAACTAAAGGCCAAGGCACATGGAATATTGTTACCTTCCCACCAAAGTGGTACCATTTGCATGCTTTCGAACTGTTAGTTGGGCAGGAAAGAAAGCTCATCCCATCAAGAAGCGCTGGAGCCTCGAACGCAAGCTTTCCAGCTGATAACTCAGCATCTTTAACCACTGAGACATTGTGTCCCCTAGTAAAAATACAGAATACATTTAAATTTGTTTTTTTCGGACATAACTGGAAAGTACATTTAACCATTAAATACAGAGCCCAGTGACCCTACATCTCATGCAGGGTCTTGTCGTGCCATGGCATTTCCTGTGCTTGATTTTTCTCTCATGTCTGCTGCTGGCTCAGATATACCGTCAGCAACTCAGCTTTGGGTGCAATCTTACTAATGTAGTCCTGGATGCTCTGGGTTTTGCCCAGAAAATCTGACTTTGACACTCACTAGATCTTACCTACCCCTTTTTTCCAATTGATGCATAATATCTGGGTGCTGGATTTGGGGTGAAAACCTCCACACATTGTTTGGTGGGTCTTCAGATTACAACTTCCATGTCTTATTTGGCCGGCTCACTATACTGTCAGGCTATCTGATGACTGGTAGGGTGTATACATTGATGGAATTAATATTGTTCTTCTCAATGAGCTGGCTTTTCAGGACTTGTCTTATTGTTTGGTGGTACTTGGATATTGCTGTTTACCTTGCCTCCTCATCATGATCCCCAAGTGACTGTGAGATACCAAGGAACCTGAAGCTGGTCTGTATGTCTGCTATGTGGCTTGCTGGTAGTTTCATACCATCAGTTTTAACTCCCTTCCCCCTCTTGACTATCAGTAAGCCAAATTTCTAATCCAAATGACATCCCAATGTCCTCACTGTAGATCCAGATCAGATGGATCAGTAAGCCGACATCTTGTTTATATTTAACATACAGCTTGATATCATCCATATAAAGGAGGCGGCTGATGGTAGAACCATGTTTGAATTGTATCCATATCCAGTCCCTGTGATTATCTGGCTGAGGGGGATCAAGCTGATGCAGAACAACAGCAGGGACAGTTAATCACCATGGTATAGGCCACACTTGATGGCCACTTGTTGAACTGTCTATATGTGTGACAGTTCTCTCTCTCTCTCTCTCTCTCTCTCTCTCTCTCTCTCTCTCTCTCTCGCCTTCCCTCCCCCCCCGCCCGACAACACATGTACCCCTGTATTGATGGCAAAAGCCAAGTCATGATAGATATCAAAACACGAAAACTATCTTTATGCCTAATACTAAGAACCAGAGTTGTGCAACAATACAAATGTGAAAAATAAGATATCATTTGAAATATGCATCTGTTGGGAAAACTGAAAGAAAGCCCATATTTTCCTGGAATTGCTCATGAGGTGTTGAAGGCACTCATGTAAGGCCAGAAAAAGACATAGCTGTTTTAAAATAGATTCTATGCCCATGTCATACATGTTACTAATCACATCTTGCTCTTCAAATTCAGGTGTCATTGCCACCTTTTAAAGACAAAGTAGTACACTTGGTTTAATTGTGATGAAAAACATAGTGGTAATGGCACAGATTTCCAATGATCAGTTACATTAAATTTAACTATGTAATTACATAAGCAAAATGTAATATAAAGCAGATCAGTCAAACTAAAATGGCATCCATAGTAACTAACACAAGGCTGAAAAACACAAAACACAAATGAAAGAACAAAAATAATAAGTTACTGCTCTTACTTTCAGTGTGAAAAGGGCTTGCAAACATTTTTGTTAATTATGCATTTACAGCTGTCCTTCATAAAGTTAATTACTAATAGCTGAAAGGCACTAGAAGTCTATTTGCATATGTACATGAAAGGCATGACATATGCAAAAATATGATTTTAATTAGTATTCCATGATATGACGGGCTACAAATCAAGCTGGCAGATTATAAGATTTTTTAACATTAAATGTTGAATTCATTTATAGATGCTTCCACTAATGGACAGTACAAGATCTATAAAATACCTTAGCACGTAATATAAAAGCTATGAAAGGCAAGAAATAGTATATTTCCACTTTATATATAGTATTATCCAATCTTCATGTCTGGTCTGATTTAGAAGATTTCACATTATTAGAAGAAATATTTATTTTGGGTAGCCTTCGGGGTATAAGAATATCACTCTGTGTTTTTAAAATGATAGGAGCTTTATTGTTTTTTATAAAAAATAAATATATTAGAATTCCACTGATTCTCACTTTTTTATATTTGGGTAATACATATGGGCAACCCAATATCTGAAATTTAGAATAATTTATTGCCATTTTATCACTATGCAAGAGTCAGTAGAATTATTGCATGTAAATAAAATGATGAGAGTAACTTAAAATTCTCAGTTATTATAAGAATGCAAGGAAGTCCAAATTTCTTGCCACTACTTTTAGAAAGATGACAGAATCATCTTAATATTATTGTAAGCAATATCCCAACATGACTGAATTCACAACACTTTTATTTTGAAAAACCAAGGCTTCCTTCATTCCAATTAATTGATTAAAAGGAAGACTAAAGTTAGATACAAATGCTTAATGAGTACATGATCAACAAGACAACCCATGCCTATGTTTTTAGCATGATTCATAGTATTTATGTTGGATATGATGAGTATAATTCACCTATTTCAAATAATAGTATTAACCATTGTGATGATGGTGGTGATTACCAGCTAATAATTTAAAACCTGATCATGGCCTTATAACTGAGGTCATAATAGGTGAACATCTCTATTTGAAAATGAAATCTGTCAGAGACCAAAAAAAGGGCCTAATTGATTGAGATCTGTCATATTTCTAAGTGGCAGACTTTGGATTTCCCATCTGTTTTGTGTAATAGTAATTTATCACTTGCTGGAAGTTGGTAACAATTTGTTTTTTTCTATAGTATGCATCTATTTTTTTTTCTCCTTCTGTTCAACTCTGGTTTTGATTCTGAGACTGCCTAGACAAGTCCCTGGTGTTTTCTTGGCAAGCTTTTTCAGAGATGGTTTGCCATTCCTGGTTCCTAGGACTAAGAGAAAGTGACTGGCCCAAGGTCACCCAGCTGGCTTTGTCCAAGGCAGGACTAGAACTCACAATCTCCCAATTTCCCATACAGCACTACTTCCACAGGAATGCATTGCTACCACTGTTTCGAGCAGCAGCACATTCCCCATTAAAATATGTAACCAGCTCATCTAACATTGCCTTACCAAAAATCATTGTGGTTGCCATATATGACCCATCATTCTTCTCATTTATTATGATCCTAACTTTTGCCTAGATTTTTCTAGCCAAACCCAACTTTTTTCACCAATTTATTTTCTTTCATTTCCCCTCAAATTTATCCCTCCACTAATCAGTCTGTCTATCCATTTGTTTAATTTGTTAGATTTGATTGGTTAAATAATGTTAAAATATTAAATCAAGCCATGTTACCTTGCTACATAACAATAATCCATTCCATGATGTATTTGCAAAGTCTTTTTATGAATCAGAAAGACATATGACCTTTACACGCCTTATAAAAGCTTTCAAAGGAGGGAGGGAAGGAGGAAGGGAGGAAAGAAGGAAGGAAGGAGGGAGGATTTTGAATCCTGTGAAGGATATGTAGAAGGAATCATAGAGAATTTGTTTTAAGAAGTAAAATTATCTATGGTATCCTTCTATTAAATATGTAAAACATTGGTGTAAAATGCATTGCTTCCCTCAAAACCACAAAAGGTGTTTATCTATATTTTTGTTATTTATTATTTTTAAAAGATTTTCATATTAGCCAGAGACAAATGAAAAGCTGAGATAAATTAATCTGGAAAATAAAATCTGCAGCCCGCGTCTGAAACTTGGATTTATACATTCAAGGTCCCCTAAATATTTAAGTAAAAACTACTTAACAAACATATGGAAGGTTGCATTGAATCATATGTATTTAAACTGGCTGAATACATAATACAACCTAATATAGTACACGTCTACCTTTCCATGACAAGTATAAATGAGCACAAATCTGTGAAGTCAGCAAGTCTGAAGAATGACTGCTTGAGTTTTAGCATGTATTTGAGGAGGAAAAAACACAATCATACTGAATGAGTTTTCAGGTGAGTTTCTAATTTTGGACATATGGTGAATTTATTTTTGCATACATTTAAAAACAATGGGAATTTGAGGGTAAGCCATAAAATTTCAGGCTACAATATATATATTCATATATTGATAAATTTGAAAGATAAGCTTTAAATAATTCTTAAACTTGGGTACGTAAAGGATGTTTTTTTTTTAACTACCAATCTTCTATGTATTCAATTCATTGCAAGCTCATTTGTATCATCAACAAAAGCTGATGATGTGTTCATCTTAATACTAGCTAATTCTTAGATAATCAATGTGGTCAACCTGTTGGTTTTTTTACTAGCAACAGAAATTTTGGCTAATATTTAATCCTACCAGTGATGCCTAATTGGCTGATACTTTGGCTGATAAAACCATTTTTCCTTAAAACTAAATTATATTCATAATACTTTCACAATCATGTGACACAAGAGATCATATACTGAATACTTGAATCCAGAGCAAAGAGTGTG